TTATGCTTAAAATTATTTAATGAAATAACTCGCATACCAATCAAGGTTTTGAAACTTTTCCATGTTCAAACAATACTGTTTTTATAGTATTGACAAAAAACATGAATAAAACATTAGATGAGTCTTTTATTCTCGGCGAGAGTCAAGAAGACCAGAGAAGACTGAAGTTTTAGTAGGAAGGTTTTAAATACTTTTTTTACATTGCTCTGAGTGCAGGAAAGTGATTCGTTTTATATGTCTTTTTTACTCGTTTTTAGTATTTCTTTCTTTTCTCTTTTTCTTTTCAACACGTGATATGTATATCCATTTTACTTGCAAAAAATGTGACACAGAGTACAAAGAACAAAACGCTTCTAAAAGAGTGCACGTAACATTGCACTTGCACCACCTGCACGTCAAAACTTATCCTGTCAGCTGACTAAATGATAATATATTTATTCTGAAATATTTCTGTTTATATTTTGTTGCATTGAATCATATATAAATTGTATTGATTGAAAATTGATGATTTAAAATCACCGGAAGTTATTTCTTGTTTCACAAGGTTAGTGGAGTTACGTCAAAACGCAGAAGCAATCTTTTCGACAGAATGAATTTCAGAAGGATTGCTAATATCAATGTTTTCCGCAAAATTCGACAGCTTGGTAAGTCTCGCACAAATTTTTCCATAATTTTCAGCTTGCTTCATTTCGCGAGCTGAATAGAATTTTCCGTACCTAACCTCAAAGTGCGTTTACATAATCTTTCAATCAGAAAACGTCGCGCATTAAATTTCCTTGAATATCTAATAAAGTTTCTTACATTATTTGATACTTTATTTATTATTTGCTTTATATTTTTATATCATTATTTTGTTAATTTTATTTTGTTAATTATCGAATAAACATGGTAATTATGCAAATCGACGATTCGTTACAGAAACATTGATCAAGCCTGGTGGTTTACTTGTACGAAACTGTAATCCAACGCAGTTTCCTAAATCCACTTCAAGTCTTGCAAATCTGAATCGTTCTGTGATTCCTAATGCAAGCAATCCAAAACGCAATATTCTGTCCAAGGTTGATAGTTCTAAAATTTTTACTCTAACTTTATTTCTATTATCTATTCTTATATTCTAAAAAAAAAAATAGGAATAAGTGTGTATGCTATAAAATATATTTTATTTTGTCAAATTTCTTCCAGCTGTCTGTACAATCAACAGTCAGCATGATCCAAACTCGTATGGCCAGCGTTCATGGCGATCATGTGCGTATGTGGGTGATAGAGAGAATAGTGTCTGCATCCTTTCTGATAATAATACCTGCTGCCATAATCTTAGAAAATAAATTTATTGATGTAGTACAGGCAATTGCTGTTGTTATACACACACATTGGTAATTGATATTCTTTGATATTTAACATACCTTTTCTAATTTGTTTTTTTATAGATCTTTATTATATAGAAAATATAATATTGAAAGAATAATTTTATTACACAGGGGATTGGAAGCTATCATTCTTGATTACGCACGACCCATTGTGGTGGGTACATTGGTTCCAAAATTGGCGTTTCTTATGCTGAATATACTCTCTGCCGCTACTCTCGCCGGTCTATTTGTGATGATTTATAATGGCCCTGGCATTACAAAAACTATTAAAAATGGCTGGGCAATAGGCAAAGATAAATAGAAATCTGGTTAATATTACAGCAGAAATAATTTCATTACATATATAAATAACTTGTTAAGATAGTAGCTCATAAATTATTGTGGAATAAATTATTTACTAATTTAAGAACTTGCTTTCTCCCTTATACTACTTAATTTTTCTTATGTGATTTGCAAATTGAATGACAGTGGAATATAAAGGATTGCTATTTATAATATATATATATATACATTGTGAATTGAAAACTGAAAGATATAATTAATGCTATCAGTATTTATGCTACAAATCAATAACAAAGAATATTTTTTTCATTATTGTCAACACACGCATAATAAATGTACAACAGATCAAACTCTGACAGATCAATAGATGAATCAAACGAGATTTAATTGCCAGTAGAGGCAGCAACCTTGTCTATAAAGGTTGCCAGTTTTATATCCCTCTGCGACAATCCATTCACATCGTGAGACGACAAAGTAATATTCACTTTATTGTAAACATTGAACCATTCAGGATGATGGTCCATTTTTTCAGCCTGTAAAGCTACTCTTGTCATAAATCCAAAGGCCTAAAAATTGAAACAGTCAAATAATTGGGCAATAAGGTCGTAATAATTGTAAACAGCAATATTCATGTACCTCATTGAAATTTTTGAATACAAACTCCTTGTAGATTGCATCCCTGTTCTCTTGGATAGTCCATCCCATTGATAGCAATGAGCTCAAGTTTTGCTCTCTTTCTTCCAGAGATAGTTTACTCTAATAAGAATCAACAAATATTCATAAGTTATCATAATTTATTTTTTTATTATAATCAAACAATTCGACCAATATCTTTTTATTCATTATTTGCAACATATGCTAGTATCTTATACAATTTTTATCAATATCTTATTTAATAATCGCTCAGAATATATGAGACAAGATTTGTGTAACAAGCAGTAACAAGTGGCTGCCGTTGTCATATCACTTTCACTATGAAGGACAACGCTCAAGGTGGATTTGTACATCTTAATTATTCTATCGGAATTTGTTTTGATCTGAACAATCTGTAAAATTGTCGACAAATCCAAGGACTTACCATCTTGGTTTTCTTCGAGACGGCGGATAAATCTCTGCGATCCAGAATGCGCGATATGCACTTTCGAATGTGATCCCCTCCACTCGCTCGCCTGGTCAATACGACTATCATGTTATGTCGAAAACTCGCTCTCTATGTAGTTTTAAAACACTGGATTTCTTGCCGTATCACGATATTGCAATTGTGCAATGGACGTGATAAATAGTTTTTTTCGGTGGGAGATAGGGCAGACGAATTAATTTCTAATATAACATAACCTCTTATTTAGTATTCGAGATCCTATCGTATCAAGCTTAATCAAGCTCTATATTAAAATCAAGAATTGATACATACTTGATAAAAATAAATGCTTATGCAGATAATTTTGAAAAATAAAGAAATCATTTCTCAAATATTATTCTTCGAATAAGATATTTTTATAAATATAAAAATATTTACATTCATTTTTATAAAAATATGAATTAAAATATTTCATTTATTTAACTTTCTTTGACAAAAGTGTTTATATATATTGGTAAATATTTATATATATATATATATATACAGAAAAAGTTTTTTAATCTATTAATATATTTAATAAAATGTTTGAAAATACTTTACGTATATTTTTGGGTAAGAAATAATTGTTTGGACATAGGTGTAATCAGGATTTTGTTTAAGCAGGAGCTGGCAAATTAGAGTTGAAACTTTTGCTCTCTCTCTCTCTCTCTCTCTCTCTCTCTCTCTCTCTCTCTTTCTCCCTCTCTCTCGGGGAAGATAGTCGAATGATATGGAATATTGGACTTATTTTGTTTTATATTATTTTTAATTAATTGCTAACAAATCCCAAAATTACGTTTAATTTATCCATTTATTTTTCTCTTAAAAATTGTATATTAATTTTTCGAACTGAAAAATTAGCCTAGTTATATATTTACAGAAAATTTTCCTGTTTATCTTAACTTCTTTCTTCTTTTTCAAAATTAATTTCTTGAACAATTATTTCTTGAACAATAGCCTGTTTAAGAGATTTTATTTTTAGTCTTTAAAATTTAGTATCCTCCCCTTGACTACATATATGTGTTTATAGCTTTTTATTTATAAAAGTCAAAGAGAATTCGTATCAGCATGAAAGTATAAAGGTATATA